ATTGTATAACTTGATTTCTGTTACACAATAGTAAAATGACGAATAGAAATGGTCTGTAATTTATTTGACCAACTGTAAACTTATTGATGCGTGCTATTACAGGTTTGCCGGTGAATGTTATTCGCTGGCTGTCGCACACCGTGGGAATGTGTATCTTCAGGATCTTAAAAAACTTAGTTTGATTAGTGTTGGTCTTAGTGGCTTGGGAACGCTACTGTAGAAACCAAGGGACAACTACTTGAGGTCGCTCACGCATGGCATTTTTTAGCTGCGTTATCCCCAAGAATCAGAAATCCGTGGGTAAGGTGAGATGTAACATTTTCATAGTCCAACCTTTCTAATCTCATTCTTCCGTTATGAAAAAGCTGCATCGCTGTAGATGCTGGTTGTTCGAGGAAAACACCGTACAACTTCGCCCTCAGACTTGGAGTTGCCAGTTATAGCCTTACCGTTCTCCAATCGACCTGCCTGGCATGGTGAGACCTAAAGGAACATATTTTCTAGCCAATATAGCTTAGTTGGGTCATCACGATAGGCAAGTTTTACCACCACGTCAGACTAGTAGCAGCTACGTTTGAGGAACTTATTGACTGCTAGTATTTATCATGTTTTTGTCGGTGTGGATCTCTTGAATTGAGGTCAATGCCACAAATGAACTGTATGTATGTCAAACGAGTTGAACGACGTAATGTGAAAGAGGTTAAAGTGATTAACATCCCTACTGAATTTTCTCCTTCCAGTCATGTTTGTTTCGCTTAAACTGTATTTCTAATATTTCGATTTCTAATGAAGGTGATATTATTTTCTATCATTCCATAATTTTCCTTACTTAGCGAATGTAAAGAGTGGTCGAGTGATGACTTTTTAAATGCGGATAAATAGATATATGATAATTCATGGATATCTTTTTATCCTTTTAGATAGGCTATCATTTATAGTCAAGCCAATCAAATTTGAGATATGACGAAATCTATCCGTCCTTATGGATAAATAACAGTTTGGTATTATAGTTGATGTCAGTTCATGGCTTGAACATCCACTTTAAACTCTTATTCCTAACCCTTACATCCAGTTCTTAATCCTATTTCTAATTCCTCATACTGATTGATAGCTCTCTTACAACCCTAGTCAGTAAGTGAATATTCTCAAGCTCACTACGGCATCAGAAACCAGATTCCAACGGAGGAAGAAGCTCTGGAAGTGGATAGGACACACAATGCGGACAAAACCCACTGACGTCAAAAAACAAGCCTTCACTCGGAATCCTCAGGGTCAACGGAAAAGAGGAAGGTCGTCGAATGCAATATCTTATTTTCAGTTTCGTTGATAATAGAACTCTTCATTGTATTGTAATTCGGCGCATTTCGACAAACGAACAGTAGTAAATCATATGAATAGTTTAAAGGTTATTTTGTAACCTCATCGTCGGAAATTATTTCGAGGAATACAATCGATATACTAAACGATATTCATTATATTACTTGCTGACCTGATTTCGCCTGTTACATCGACAATGGAGAATAAGCTGCCGACCAGCATCCTCTAACCTACTCTGTCCTTCCATGTTTCTTCATGCAGTACATTTTTCACAACGTTCATTACCACTTGAATCCACTGGAATAGTATCTAAACCTGGCTACATTGATTTAAGATTATTCGGAATCAAACATTTACTCAGTTGAAATAGAACTGGACAGTGCATTAAGTATACATCAATATAATCCAAATGTGGATTTTTCAATGTCTCTCGATATGCTGTCTCTACGTTCTCTGGAAGAAATGATGTACACCATAACGACGAGTTCACATTGTACACGTTTAGAAAAATTACCTTCGAGGTAATAAATACATCATTTATCGTTAAATTCAACAATCCCATTGATTCTTCCAATACTTCATCTACTTCACTTCCTTTCTCACATTCATGAGCACAATCCAGATGACGATAACCAACTTGTAATGCTTTTTTCAATGCCTCATCAACTTCATTTGGTTTACTCTAATCAAATCAAAAGATTCACAGTATTATTCTGTTCATATACGTTTCATGTTCCTAACCCACTTATAGGGATAGTGTCATCATTATTCATTTTCAATGATTTTTCAATGTGTGTGATAACTTGAAACGATCTGTTATGAACGTGGGTTTGAATTATTTCAGTAGTATATATTCATATATATAAACATTTCATGAAACATGTATACTGGTTTATCCAGTGTGTATAATACTGTAGAATGTGGTGTATGTGTGTGGTCGAAACTCTTGACAATTACCAATGGGCATTACATGATTTTAAATGTTTATTTAGTCTGAAATAAAATTAATTCATTGGATTAAATAAATGATGTCGATTATGGGTTGGTGGTTTAACACTCACTAGCATAATTACATCATCTAGGCACTTAAGTTCTAGATTAAACAGTGCCAAATCAAGAGATCAGAACAAAGTTTTATCTATAAACTTGATAGGCAGTCCATACCCATCATGTTGGAAGTTTAGAAAATATTTATAGTGGGTTCCGTTATATTCGTCGTTGGGCTCACCAATTAAGTGACACGCAATATAACACTTCATGTTTTTGATCATTTGAATATGCTATGAAATAAATCTTTCCTTCAGTATCTGTATATGTCATGTTTAGGCGAACTCCGTTTGTGCGACTGCAGTAATAGTAAACTAAATATGGAATCGGTTGGATCAGTTTATTTCAGGCGATCGTTCGTACAGATGGTAGCTAAGCAGGATGATTGTGGTGGTGTTTCGTTCTCTGAGCTGGTTGTTTTGGTTGTGGAGTTTTTATTGTTCTTCTGAACAACATCATCAGCTTAAACGTCTATATGAAGTTTGTGCTGATGATGTCGTTCAGAAGAACAATGAAAGCTCCACAACCAAAACAACCAGCTCAGAGAACCAAACACCACCACAATCGTTCATACAGACAGACATAATAATACATAGCTCGAAAGCAAAGTGAGGTAAAGTGGAGAAGGTCAGAGAGCTAATTACTTGCTATAAGGCATGACAAAGTGTTTAAAGTTAGCCAAAATAAGCTAGTCATGCGATTAGAAAAGCGGCGCACGCACATGTTCGAAAAAAAACGACCAAGAAATAAGCGAATAGTTGACGAGCGAACAGTAACTCGAGAAGAATGAATCCGTTTGTTAGTTCGGAGGCTTGGGACAAGTCCTGTGGGCTTCGCATAAAAGTACTTGCGATACAATTTAACATCGGCATTCCATGAAGAGAAAATATTCTAAGAAGGACCTTATAATGTGTGCTCTTATTTACTGGCAATGTAAATAACTTAAGATAGAAAGTCGAATAGTTATCTGTCATTCGGAAACAAATTTTTAACTGTTTTTCTTCTGTTAACTAACATCTGTTTATAGCAAACACATACCTATGCACAAAATAGTTTGACCTGATTCCTAATAGATATTATTGCACAAAGTACAAGTGAAGGGAATATCCGATCCTGTTGAATATTCTCCCGTACTCTAATAGCTCACATCAAACTGATAATGAGGCAATAGGCGACATAAGAGTGTGAAGCATCAACAGTCCTACCTCAGGTTCTTTTGGAGATATGCCAGCAATTGTTGTTAGGTTTTTGAGTGGTTTCTGAATACGAAAAAACAGTTCTAGAAGTTTAGATACGAGCCTTCAAGAAAGAAAGCAATTTATCTAGATGAGAAACGGTTGTATTATTAATTAAAAGGTACATATAGTTACCTAAATAATATTTCACTGTTCTTTAACACAATGTGTTTCTAATTCTTGAAGACTGTTTCCGTATAGGTCCGAAACTGCACCCAGTCAAGATTTACGTTTACCCGCTAAGGTATCGAATCCGATATGGCTGACGCTGTGATTAAGTATCAATTTAAACAACATGATGCAGTTCTGTAGAAAACGTGGAAACTACAATAGAGGTACAAAAAATAGAAACTCTAACAAAGTACAAATATTAACATCTCAAAATAGGATTAAACAGAGTACCAAAATGTAGCACGGAAAGTGTCAGTAAGAACATATTACAAATATATACATGGAGGGATTTTCCCAAAACGAAGCCTTCCAACTGGATTGTCTAATCATTACTATCCAGTTGCCCACAACATGGAAAAAACGTTTCCCTGCGGATTTCGCACAACCAAAGTAGGTTAGATTTGGTATTTACAACTTGGGAATGTGAATGCGGAATCAAGGGTAACATAGAATTATTCCGATGACTCAAGGACCTATTTTAACCAGTTTTAGATGTGTTAGCTCTCTAGCTTTCAGAAATGACTCAGAGAAATGATAGTCATTGAAGGATGACAGAACAGGTTATTTCACGTTAGGCTTCCTGTAACTCATTCCTTTATTATGATAAGTCACTACTGCTACAGATGCTAGTTTCCCGGGGTATACTATTGTTCGACGCCTAAATGTATGTCTGTGTTCCAGGACCTGTCGCAGTGTGAAAATGTGTTCTTTACAGCCATGTCCCGGTATGAAACCAGCACGGCTTCCTCTAGTCTGCTCTTCATGAGATTTCTTTAGGCGTCAGAGTATTACGAAGGCCAATCTTTTTGACGCACGTTTAGTAAGACTGATTCCGCTGTGATTGTCACAAGAAAACTTTTGTCCTTTCCGTAGGCTGGTACAATCAGTGACTGACATCAGTCAGACGGGATTACGTCCATCTCCAAAATACTACCCAAAATCTCGGCCAATTTGAATGTCAAAACTGGACGATTATACTTGAAATTCTTAGACGTCAGTCGATCAGGACCAGATGCCCTCCGTCGCTTTAGATATCCTATCTCATTCTAAACTTCATAAGGAGTTGGGTGAGTAACGTCGATTTGCCATACAGGTTGTTTGGAGATCGTGGGCAACGGATGTGTGGCTGAAGGCCAGTTAAATTGATTTTTCAAGTGTTTTTCCCGTCAATCTGATCTCCTGGGATGAGCATGAATGGCACAGCCATCCATTTCTGAGATGGTTTCGCTAACAGATGAATTTGTAATACTGGTTTCTTTGGCAAGTCGAAACAACTGTCTACTGTTGCCTGTTGCCGCTGCCTATCTCCCGCCCACGCTTTCGCCACCAGTCACTGTTTACGATCTATGCGTAGGTTTTTTATCAGCCTTCGCCCAAGCTGACTCAACCTCCTGTCTTCACGAGTATTTACTACATCATTTAGTCGGACAACGCATACGTAACTACCTACCGGTATCCAGTCTGAGAGAACTGGTTCTACCCTAGGACTTAATACTATGCCTACAACACCGAAGCCGTGGGAAGCAGCATCAGGGATTGCAGATTTACGAAGCGTAAATCAAGCTGATCCTCTATCTACACAACGTATAATCAAACTGATGATTTTGCTCGGATCTTGTATGGGTGTCTCAGAGACGCAAAACGCATTGATAGCATAGGATTCGAGAGTCTGAGGGTACATCGGCCCGGTGACTGCTGAAGGAAATCGAATTTCATTATGGGACATTAAAACTCCTTTAAATGAAGGCTTCATAACTCACATGGGAGAGTTTTCATGGCTTACATTATTTTTTCTTGTTAGTTTCATACTGTATGAGGTCGCCAACTGCAAGCTCAACCCTCTTCCTTTACACGTGTTTGCGACTGGCAGTGCCCTTAAGGGGCTCCAGAAGGAGTTGTATAATTGTGCAAACGTAGGTGAAGATAGAAAGTCACATTAAAACCAAGTAACAACGTATTCAAGCTATTTAAAATTGGGATAATTGACTTCTATTTCTTTACGTAAATGGACGTAAATTACTAAGAAAATTTTGGAAATATTTTCCTTCGGTATTGTACTGAGGTATGATAAACCGATCGATTTGACTAAAAACTATCCCAGTTAGAATTTCAGTGTGATGGATAAGAAACTGCATATGGGCCATCCTAGGCTAATAGCCAGTCTCAAGATGAGCGTTCGGCATCAAACTGGTTACATATTCTGTAGAACACAAACATTTACCGCAAACGCTTATTAGGAAAATTCGTTTTAACTATTTAAAATTTGCTATGGAGTTTAAAATCTTTTTATTTATAGAGATATAGGAAGCCCATTTATGATAGAAGCCGAAAATACTATCATAATTCTGACAAATTGTTTGGGACGTTAGACCCCAAGAAGTCACTAGATAAATGGCTTAAGTTTGGCTGGGCTGATTAGTTGACCTTGAGATCACATTTCCTACCACCAAAAACCTTGGCTTCGATTGGTTTACGTGTTATTCTAGTGTGCTATTTTTGTGACTCCCACAAGGACGTTTCTACGATGTAGAAGTAAAAGAGATTTGTGTGCTTAAGATCATTGTGCTTGTTGGGTGCTTGTAGAAAACACATTCTATGCCATATCAAAACTTCTTCGTTAGTTCTTTTGGGTCAGCGGATCAGAGTAGCCTATCCGGACACCGGTTCACTCTCTCGTTTTTGTTCATCGACTTATGTGAAGCCGTTATATTTTCAAGGATTCAAGTGAGAATCATTACAATTGGGTATGGTGGTTTTGGAAACATGGATTCCGCCAAACGTAAATTATTATTGAGCAGCAGCTGAAACTGATGCAGATGTTGGCAGATATAAAAATTCTCCCTTCCATACAGCCCACCTCATCTAATGAAACCACAGCATCATCAGTCAACGGCATCGCAAATAACATTGCTGACAATCATAACACAACCATAACAACAATAATAAACATACAGAGAATGTTGGTTACTTGTTCATGTCTTTGTTCTTTTCAGTGAATTATTGTTGCCTGATATCAATCACTGATTCTCTTAGAACGCAAATTCGAACAAACACAGTGTCTTAAACATCTCGTACGAACTTCTACGCAGATTGAAAATCAAACAGAATTTCAAAGTAACAAACATTTTTCATGTCTGACAAACAGTTAATCTCCTAGTCTATCACATACATTTTGAACGCGATAATGACATCAGCAATAAAAATAATAATGCTGTTTCAATTACTTTTC